TAGAGCTATTTGGCTATACAGAAATCCCTTTAGAATTACCTGAGTTTAACAATAGGGGTATTCTCGAAATCTTGCAAAGCCCTTGCACGGTGCACGGATTGGACGACAAAAGCCAGTTTTCCTATGGGACAGCTTTGGAAACCGTGCGCCGTGCAAGGGCTTTGCAAGACTGCGAAAATACCCTCAATATATTACAGTAATAGTAGATTTCCTTGATTGATATGCATGTTGGCCTTGACAGAAAGCCTACACCTTGAAATAGGTAAATCTAAAAAAACAGGTAACCTTGGTGTTATTTAGCTTTATTTTCATTGTTGCAAACTATATCAAGCTGGTTTTGGATGTAATACGTAAGACGTATACCTTGACGCCTCAAACAAATGTTGATTCAATTTGTTGCATAACTTTTGAGTTATTGATGTTTTAATTAAAACAAAAAATATTAAAAAAATCAAGTGTATTTTTTGTTTAATATTTAATTGGTGAAAAATGAATGAATTAATTAGCTGGCGTATCCCAACGACATCGATATTATCGGTAAAAACCAAGGCTACGTCTGTTCTGCCTTCTCGGGATTAGATAGAGAAGCACAGCGAATGGGTCTGGTGGTGAACGAGGACAAAACGAACGAAAACTGTCATCACACAAACAGTCAGAGCATACGCGTCTTGGCACCCACGTCACTGTTGACAGTTACAAGTTTGAAAAAGTAGACGACTTCGTATATTTGGGTACCAGCATTAACACCAATAATATGGTCAGCCTTGAAATCCAACGGAGAATTACTCTTGCCAACAAGTGCTACTTTGGACTGAGTAGGCAATTGAGAAGTAAAGTCCTCTTTCGTCATACAAAGATCACACTCTATAAGTCACTCATCATGCCTGTGCTGGTGTACGGCGCAGAGGCATGACCAATGAAAACATCTGATGAAGCGGCTCTTGGAGTTTTCGTATTTTTGCTTTAAACTTTTGTTAGGTATAGACATAAGGCAAACTTGGCTGATCTTTTTTTCTTGAAGCAAAAATCAGTAAATTTTGCTTTTTATATTAGAGGCTTTTATCGGCAATTTTTAGGAATAGCTTTAGAATTTTCGGGTTCCACTTTCACCTTTTAACTTTCTTTTGCAAACATATTTTATACCAATTGAAGAAAAATTGCTTTTATTTTTGGCTACAAAAACAAGAACCAAAAATATTTGATTTCCCTTGATAAAGTAACATAAGTAAATAGTTTTTTTTTACCACGAAATTCCTAGATGAGCCTAAAGGAATAACTAAACATGTATTATATGAATTATTTAGTACGTATTAGAGCTCTCGATTTTGTTCGCACATTTTCAAACAGCCCGGGTATATGAGCAGCGAGTACTCGCACACTTGTTCAATGCTCATTACTCGAAAATTTTCGAGCATGAGCTCGAGCAATTCGAGTTTTTTCGAGTAATTTGAGCAATGTTTTTTTTTATTATATTGACATTTTTGGTAGCAACTTTTTAAATTTTTCAAATTATTGATATATCGAGCCCTAACCGCCAAAATAACGTAAGCGACATTTTTTTCGAAATTTTGTTTTTGATGCAGAAATTCATCTAGATGCTCTAGGAATATTTCTGCATAAAAAATAAAATTTTGAAAAAAATGTCGCTTACGTTATTATGGCGGTTAGGGCTCGATATAATGGAAAGATTGCTACATTGGTATTTAATAATATAATTTATTTAACATGAATTAGAAAGCAGCTGCTCACAAATACAATTTACAAATTTTCTTTTCTTTATGAAATTGTTCAAAAACTCGAAAATTTTGAACAAACATTTGAGCAGTTGAGCAATGAACGAGTTTCGAGCGAGTATCGAGCTACTCGCATCTAGAGCTCTAGTACGTATGTATGGATGTAATATATATATATATATATGGTATGTATGTACATGCATTAATATGCATGCCTTCATGGAGAAACATGTACGAATGATAACTTTCAATAATACATATACATAGATTACACTTATAGTAGACATCACAATACACATTAAACAAAATGATATTAAATAACGATAAGACACAAGTAATATGTATGTAAATAAACGAAACAGAATTAAGGGATTCACAAGGTGTCGTAATGAGTCATACCGTCATAATATGAGAATTTTTAGGTGATTATATCAACAATTTTATTGAGCTTGAGCTAAACTAAACCAGAGATGCTCAACAAACTATATGAATTGATTTCGTTTTGTTGATGCGCAAAAATGACTTATTAAAATACCTTCGTTTCGTTTCAGAGCTAAATTAACAAAGCAAAACTCAATCGTTAACGTTGAAATGAATTAAATCACCAATCGTTAACATCGAAACAAAATTAATCAACGAAGAGTTGGTGTTGTATGCCATTGTCAGCTCACTATTAACAACTAGCACCTAAATGCATGCTACAACTCCAGCATTAACGATTGAAAATCTTTTCGTTAAAAACCAAAATAGAATTATTTTGTTAAATACCTAAGCGATAAAAAACTGAATCGTTTCAACAGAAACTATTGCTTTTTTTTGGTAAACGCTAAAATTAACGTTACAATGCATCCTTGAGTTAAACATTCTGAAAATAAAATTATCAACAAAAACCAACAATCAGATAATCAAGTTTAAATAGCACTGGAATAGCTGCGTTTGATTGTAGTTGGCTTAACATTTGAAAGAGTGGAAAAAGCAACAAGAATTTACAAGGCGAACTTAGCACAGTGCGTAGGCAACTGGTTAAGTTAGCTGGGATCGTTGGATCGAATCCCAATGAAAGAAGTCTGATGAGGAAATATGGTGATTTCCGAAATATATAGCTATCACTTTTACCATTTTTGTGATCGTTGGATCGAATCCCACTGAAAGAAGCCTGATGAGGAAATGTTGTGATTTTCGAAATAGCTATCACTTCTACCATTTTTTCAAATTATTGTTGATTTTCCAGAGTAGTTTTTTTCATTTAAAACGGCATCAAGCTCAATAAAAATGGTTGAATACAATTGTTATAAGGCCATAAAATAACAAAAGCAAATAACTTAAGGTCGAGCACACCTAAAAGATAAACATTCTAAAAATATAATTATTAACAAAATCCAACAAAACCAACATCCACATGATCAAATTTAAATAGCACTGGAATATCTGCGCTTGATTGTAGTTGGCTTAACAAATGAAAAAGTGAAAAAAGCAACAAGAATTTACAAGGCGAACTTAACATAGTGCGTAGGCAACTGGCTAAGTTAGCTGGGATCGTTGGATCGAATCCCAATGAAAGAAGTCTGATGAGGAAATATGGTGATTTCCGAAATATGTAGCTATCACTTTTACCATTTTTTTAAAGTATTGTTGCTTTTCCACAATAGTTTTTCATTGAAAACGGCCTCAAGCTCAATAAAAATTGTTGAATATAATTTTATAAGGCCATAAAATAACAAAAGCAAATAATTTTTAGGTTATTCACAAAAACCAGCCGTTTTTAAATATAACAACAACAGTGTGAGCAGGGAACGGATTTTATGGAAATTGCCGTTTTTTTTGCTAAAGATGGCCTTATTCATAAAAATTAAAGTAGCTTTAAAAAGGTTTATAAACTGAAAAATGTATGAAAACATCATTTTATAAAGCTGTTTAAATCTACTTCTTTTTTATGAATAAAGCCAATAGAGTATATTCAAATAAGAATGTCCACGATTTAGCTTTCCCTGATTCCATATATACACATTTGATGTTGTCTTTTTTGCCTTTTTTTTAAATATTTGCCTTTTCTACCTTTCATTGTAAATGGCAAAGAAAAAATAGTTAAAAATTCAAAGTACAAATTAAGCTCTGTTCGCGTGCGCACTATCCAGTAAAATCCAGTACAAATTTTACTGTTTTTTTTTCTGGATGGCGTTTTCGTACGCAAAAGCTTGCAAGAAACCAGCAAAAGAGAGAAAATTGAGAGAGCAAAAATGACAGCTGAACTTGCAAGTTTTACTGAAATTTTACTTAATGCAATTCACATTACCAAAATAATTGTTTGTGGTGCATTTAGAGTTGCAATTGACAAAATAAACCTATTTAAATATATAATAAGATGGGAAATACTATTTTTCTTAGAAAATTGCGTCGGAGAATAACAAATTAATCAGCTGCTTATAAAACTTGCAACGTCTTGCTGGTTTTGCGTTTTCGTACATTCTTGAATATTTCTCTCATTGGGAGTAAATATTGGCGTGCTCTCCGAAATTTGGTTACTAGCAAGTTACTGGATATTTTTTGCTGGAGAATACGAAAACACAACTATATATCATATAATTAAACTAGTTCATAGTTTTTCTCTTTTTACTTGTAAAATAAACATTTCTAGAATAAATGTATTTTTTTATTATTTTTTTAGAGCCTTCTTTTGCCTCTCTGCGGCCTATTTCTCTACTTTATTTTGATTTTTCTAGCCTATTTCTTTATTTTATTTTGCCTTTTTTATAGGCTCTTAGGTCCTAAAAATCCGTTCCCTGACAAACTGGAATAGGAAGAGAAACAAAAGTGGAAGGACAAACCGAAACGGAAAAAGAAAATGAAAGTGAACGGGGAACGGAAATGATAATGCAAAAGGAAAGTGAAACGGTAATGAAATCATTAATGCAAATGGAGCCGGCTAAGTGTTATGCAAAAGGTTACGGTCAATGCATCATCAGCAAAAAGGACTACATACAGTTAACAGGAGCGAACAAAAAAACAGCGTAAATGATTTATTTCAACAAAGTTTGCTTAAGCATTTTTTTTTATATGCAAACGAGCAAGCTTGAAAACTCAAATTCAAACTAATTGCCGCTGCTCCTTCTAAAGCACACCATAGTGCAAAGAAATAAAAAAATCAAAATACAAATATATTAAAAAAAAAAAACATTTTGGTTTAAAAGTGGTTAAAAAGTACAGAACGGAAAAGCAATGAAAACAGTTAAGAATTTGGTTGTAGCAGAAGATAAGAGGAAATCTTACAGCTTGATCTGTGTTGCTCTTGCTGTATGGTACCGGAATCAAGCGCTCTTGCAATTCACCGCCTATGACCTTGAAATGGAAAAGAAAAATAAAAAGAAAAATATTTCGAGAAAGAAGTTCAATGAGGTTAAGAAACAGTTCAATTGCTGGTGTTGTTATAGTAAAAGCTCTCTTTATTAGTTTATTATTAACGGAGGTTTTAATTTTTTTATTTGGTTTAGTTGAAACTGAAGTTTTTAACAGTAACAATTATGGGGCAGCTGATTTCCGCTTTGGGCTCCATTAGTTTTTGATTTTTATTATACTTTTAGTTTTTATATTGTTGCATGTTACTGATTAAAATAAAAACTGAATGAAAAGAATAGATTACTTGTATTTATGTGGGTAACTGTATGTGAAGAATCAAAAACCTAAGAAAGCAAAATGATAACAATTTTAAAAATATGAAGAAAGCACTTTATAGTAGCGCTGAAATAAGGACTTGTGAAAACGAAAAGATAGGCGTGTCAGTATGCGCTTGTTTTGTTACTTAGTCGTGTTTTATGCATTTGTTTTTTCTACTCTTTTCTACGGCTTTAATCTGTCACGTGCTATTTACTGTACATGCGCCCAGTGTTTGTGCGTGTGTACACCACCCGTAAAATGCGTTCCACAATTTAAATTAAAATATATACATATAGTTTCAAAGCTAAAAAAAATTATATTTTCCTTGTTTTTAGTTTCAGATCGGTGAAATCGGCATATTACATACCTGTATATACATAATACATAGTGCCGATAAGATTGACATCCAGACCCTAAAAAAGTATATGGAACTCATGCCTGCATACTCGCTAGTCTAGCATTCTTCTGTGAAACTGACCATAGATCTTCGAAATTTTGTATTTCTCGTCTTAGACTATATAGGCGTAAATTACTTAGTTTTACACAAATTACTTCAATTGCTTTTATAAAGATACCAATTTTATATTAGCCTTGCAGCCTTATAACCTGCTGTTTTAATTTTTTTTTACATACCACCACAAAAGAATATTAGTAACAATACTCAGGTAAAAACTATTTTTATTCGCGCGACATCACTTTGACATTCAAATCGCAAACATTTGGTATATTGTGGTTTCGGTAAGCCACCTAACCAATGTTCACAGATACATTAGGGGAGCTCACGTTGAGTAGCATTTTAGGTGTATGGTTGCTACGCAGCAATCTAGCACCCATTTTGTTGAAAAGCAACAAAACATGTGCTAGATTGCTATGTAGCAACCTTACACCTGGTTTATGATATTTAACAATTTCTTAAGTCCTAGTTAAATTCAATGAAAAATGTAATAATTTTCAATCCTAACCAATACCTTTGTATTTCCTTGTATTTAATTAGTCTTCCTATATCCGACTCCAAGGCCTGGAATATAAAAAATGTTCTGTGACTTGGCAATAAATTTGTAATTGTATATTAGTACTAGATCGCCCTCACCCTCAGTTAAAAAACAGGAGGTTTAAAATTTGTTTAACCATCTTCAAAATATTTTCAAACAAAAACTTTTTTAAACTTCTCACTTGTCATACTTTTTCAATTAACTTATTCCCTGAACTCAATTTAAGATTTTAAACAGATGGAAACCTCTTACATGTAGTTTTGAAATGAAGCCCATTAAAAATCATTTCGATTGATACCCATATTGTAATAATTCATTTAAATTATTGAATAGTTTGAATTTAACCTTTTAAACAGTTGGCAACCTTTTTAAACCGCTTTCGTCTGACACTCATATTCAAAATCATTTCGATTCATACCAATCTTCTATAATCTACAATAATATATACTAGAGTGCCAGTTACTGTCGAAATTCGACAGTTTTTCTAGTATTAGAACCTTGGAGAGGTTTTCTAACTTAACTCGTAGCACAACTTACACGGTACAAATTAACTAACCGGAAAATCTGCTAAAACGTAACTAAATTTTTTTTTTATCTGAGAAGGTCTTTGGAGGACTTCGGCATGACTTGGAATTGACCCGATACATTCAAGTTTATCGATACATTTCAATGATTTGATACATATCGATAGTTCGATGAATTTCAACTTTCGATAACTCAAAAATGTAAAAACTTTGGATACCTTTATAAATTTTTACTTTTGACATCTCCACATTTTTCGAAAACTATCTAAACATTTTGATAACTCGTTACACTCTGTTAAGACGATTAAATTCAATAAGCAGTGATAAATCGATAAGCTTATATAACCTTGAAGCTTCGATAAATCGATACATTTTGAAAATTCCATAAACTTCGCTTCGTTGAACCAACCAATTTCAGTAGATCGATAATTATCGATAACTCTGTAAGTTGAAAGACACCTCGATAAATTTCGTTAAGTCTGTAAATAATGATAATTCAATAAATATCGATAACTTGATACATTTCTTTAACTTGACAAATTTCGTTAATCCCACACGTTTTTATAGCTCGATAACTATCCGTAAATTTGGACAACTAAGTTTCTGTGTCTATAAATTTCGACAACTCAGTAAACATTGATCAGTTTGAATAATTCGATACGTTGCAGTAACTTAATAAGCATGGATAAATTTCGATAATTATAAACTTCGATGATTCGATAAATTTCAGTAACCTTTATGGCTGAATTTATTTCGATTCCTATCGGAAAATTTCAACTCTGTTAACCTACTTCTTATGTATTTCTCATTGTCTCCATTTTCGCCTTTGTCTCAATTTTCGTCTTTATCTTCACTTTTGCCTTTTTTGTCTTCATCGTTATCACTTGTTTCTTCATCTTCACATTTATCCTTATTTCAAAGTTTAATTCCAAATCCGAAGTAAAACAAAATGCGAAACAGCTTAAATTGAACAGGTTGCAAAAACAACCATACAAAAATATTGAAATTTTTTAACGACGATTTTCAACCAATTTCGAAACTATAAAAACTCTCCTCATCTACAGAAAATTACCTTTCCAACGCTGTTTTTGGTTTTGAAATCGGTAACTTTACCTTGGTTTTCATCTTTGTTTTTATCTTTAACATCTTTGCTTACATCCTTTTCTTTTTCTATTCACGTAGATGAGATGAAGTGCGATGACGTGATTTTATGTGATGTGATAGGATGTCATGTCATGTGTTGTTATATCCTCTGATTTGATGTCATATGATGTCATATCATGTGATGCCACGGTGACAGGTAATAAGGTAATTGGAAATAAGGTCAATTGACTTTATTTCCCACCCTGGTGCGACCAATGAGTATATCGAACTCTTGTGTGTTACAATTGGTCCAATGGATGTTATTTGTCAGTATTATTATCCGTTAAAGCTTCATTCCGAGACACCAGGGCTAAGTTATACAGGGATAAATCTCAAATCACCACCGATATATCAAACGCCAGAACCATTGCGCGCCTTCTACTGTAATATTTAATTTGGAAAAATTGAATTTAATTTATAAAAAGGTGGAAACCCTTGCGAAAGACTTAAATATTATTCCAAACTTTTAAACTAAAGGTTTCTTAACAATATTTCGTTAGACAACCATATTTTAATTCTTGAGATAGCTTGCGTAAAATTAATTTAAATTTGACTTTTCAAACAGGTGGGAACCTTTTTCGAAATATATTCGAACTATAGCTTTTTAAGCCTATTGACATCCATATAATTTTCAAATAAATAAATCCCTAAATTACAGTTGAATTTGATTTTTTAAAAGGTGGCAGCTCTCATCCATGAGTAGATAATGATTTTATATATCTCCATACCATCTCCAGTAATCGATCAAAAATATTTCCTGACAAATGCGGTATGAAATATTCCGTTTGTAAGGGAGGTGCCACGCTCCCTTGTCTAATCGAGATTAAATTGATCCTATATTTTAAGTTGGGCTAAATGACAGCAGTGTACAAAATTTCATGATGATCGCTTCAGTAGTTAAAGCGTGAAAACGTAGCAAACAAACAAACTCACTTTCGGATTTATAATTTTAGTAAGGAAGTAAGGATTCTCCATCTGGACGCTAAGTTCAAAATTTCTGAATAAATATTCTCCCAAAAATTAATAATATAAAAATTCGTGATCAGTAAAAAAATTTGAAAACAATGGATAAGTTTAATTCAAGACAAGTTTGAGAGCTGCGCTAATGTGGATGTTTAAAACATCGTCGAAGCTTACATCGAAGTATCGACAATTTCGCGATGTTAAAAATTATTATCGAATTTCATACCGATATTATCGAACAGCCATGCATTATTTGCATTCTACTTCCAACTGCTGGACAGTGACATGATAGATGTTCTAGCAGTGTTGCCAACAAGTGCATGGCATAACTGCTGTAATGAAAGTATCAAAGAAAAAACATTTGCAAAGACAATTTTTGTTAATATTATAACGCAAAAATATCAACTGATTAAGGGCATCATCTTTTGACAAAAGGTGGCATCTTTTGTCAGAAATAACATTTCCTGCAGAAGAAAAAACTCTTTCTGACGATGCGCTAGTTGAAGCAGTGGCTATTACTCTACGACTGAGTTTATGCAGCAGCGGCATTTCGCATTTGTGTACCTCCCACCAATTAATTATAACGAAGTCCGTATGAAAATTTACCTCAATATTTTCATATCGCCGTAGCTCTGAAGTAGCTGTATCAGTTCTGCTCACAAAGGTAGGTTGTTTAAGAAGACCTGAAAACAGCTCAAAGCTGTCTGAGGGTAGCAAAGGTGTATCCGCAATTTGAGGTTCCGTTGTACTGCCAGAAGTCTCAGTTAACGTTCTCATAATTTGTACACATTTCTCTTTTGTGTACCTTTGCTCAGATTCGGTAAAGTTCTTGAGCTCTTTAGCTGGCAGGTATAAAAAGCAAAATTTTGTGCAAATCTGTTAGTTTTCAACAGCAACTGTTTTTAAATAATAAAGCAACTTATTTTTCAAGTCCCTTATAAAGCCGATGTCTTCTGAGGTAACATTGCATTTCTTTTGTAGACTAATTATATAATGTACGTCAGGTGTATAACTAAATAATTTAGTAAAACTAATATATTTAAAAAAATATTTCATCAATATCCATTTTTTTCAAAATTGTCGTATTCTCTACTAATTGTTTGAAGTCAATGGGTGTCATTCGATTGCTCGACTTGCTTTTCATACCAGCATTTTTCACTCGCTTGACTTGATTTGGAAAGAGTATATCAATGCCATATTTGAAATCAAATGAGTACACTGCAGCTAGACATTGATTTCAAAACTAACTATGAATCTCCCTGTTTGTACGGTGTTTCTCACTAACCTTATAGAGTTCACAGCAATGAGTTCATACTGTTTACATGGAAGTGAGTAAACTCATGCTGTTGTCTGATAAATACCCATTCATGCTTACGAAGTAATACCGAAGTACTGCACATTAAAACTGGTATATCTGGAGATAAAACAATCGAATCGCAACAAACGAAATTGAATTTTAAGTAGAAATGAGCGAAAAAATTTGTTGTTTTATAATATAACTCCAAATATTGCGAAAAGCCGTGCTTTTACATCTAGAGGTTGGGATATCTCAAAATTCTGACGTGGTAGAGAAATTCTGCGGCCAGTTTTGGATTCAGCACCGAAAAATCTACAAAAACCGATGCACTCAGGTGGCAAAAAGAGATAAAATTTTTCGAACTGTGTAATCAATCAATAATCAAGAAAATAAAGAAATAAATACTTAACTTATCTGCGTGCTAGCATTTTCAACGCGAGTACAATTTAACAAGAACGCAAGAACGTGGGTTTGCAACTTCATCTTTTTATCAATCATGGTTTGCATTTTAGTGCATTTAAATTTGTAGATTCTTGTAAATTCAGGAATTTTAGTTCAAAAAAAAGCACTAAAAAGGGCACTAGGCACTAAACCATTTTGTTTGGCGTTTTAATTTTCAAAAATCACTAAATCTAGTGCTTAAAGCACTAAGTTGGCAACTATGTGTTCTAGACTGCCTATAGAGTTACCTTCGTCATGTACCAAGTATTTTTTCACTATGTGCCAGTCCTAGCTCTAAAGCTTGGGATGATGCCAAAAAGTGTCCTGAAAGTATCCTATCTAGTATCTTTCAATCCAGCCTTGGAAGTTTTAAAAAAATATGGTTATGGTCCTAAAAAAGCGAAGCATACATGTAAGTTCTGCAAATCGCACGATCAGAAGTCTTTGCGATTTACAAAATTTATTTTGGAGATTTCTTAACGAAATTGAAAAAATTGGCAGAAAATGGATGGATATGACATAAGTGATGTATTTCTGGCGATGGGCATTTGAAAAATTTATTACTTTCATTACAAATATTCAAAAACCCATGGCATTGTTATGTCTCATTATTTCTTAGATAACTAAGGGAGCGATTATTGCCTTCCGTGTTTCTTAATGGTAAATTTACCTCAGGCCGCTCATTTAATTTAACTCCTTTCTGGCCTAGAAACTATTAAATAGAGACTTGCCTAATTGCCGATAACATAAGAGTAAGAGCCGCTGACAACTTAACTGCTTTAGCTACAGTATAGATCTAGGACTGGAAATTCTGCAGTTATATGGCTGTTCTAGGGATGAAACGATACCATACAGGTATCCATACTTTTACTTGGAAGTAGTATCGAAAAAAAGTATCGATGCCTGAAAAATATCGGACCTAAAGTATCGGTACTCATTGTGCATTCCGTATTAAGTTAAATTTGTTTTTTAAATTACAAGTTAATCATCACTGGGAACCCTATACTCCGAATAATAAAACTCATAATGTAGGAACTGAAAATTAATAAAACTCCGTTACATAGTAGAACTACACATCTGTTTAATGATGAATAATATTTATACAGATACACATATATACATTGGAAAAGATTACATGTTAATCTTATTTAAGAAACCATTTATTAATAAAATATTTCAGCGAAAAATTTCTTCTTTTGGTGCGCTCGCCAAGAATAGACGTTTTTCCAAATGTTTGCCAGTCAACCGATTTCTTGACGTGGTTATTGTTGCTCCTGCTTTCGAAAACCATGGTTTGCAAGAAACACATGTTGCAACTATATGTGAATATGATCGTGCTTGTTTATACAACAAAGAAAACACAGTTTTAGCTCTTCCTATTCTTCTAATGGGTTCGACTTCAGGGAGGAAACTGGGCTGGATAAAAAAAAGAAACGTATTTTTTTATTTTGAAAAAAAAAAAATTGGAGGTCGCGCTAGTCGATTTTTTATAAAAACGCTGGGGTTTTCAAATTTTTTTTTATTTTCGTAACATGTATAGGGCAGCTAAAAATGTTGTTTCTACATGTAATTACTCAGGTATTAATTAATTACATGTATTGGACAGTTAGAAAGGGCCCGAAAATATGCTTTCGAAAAGAGACTGCTATATTAAAACGTTGATACTGAACGTTTTAAGCATTGCGATGGGTTCAAACCCATTACCAGGGATTTCTGGGGTCGCCGATTACGCATCTGATGTCAGTTTTTTAAAATTCAAAATGGCGGATCCAAAATGGCGATCAATTTGAAAAAAATGGCTGGATTGGTTCGAAACTCGGAACTCGGAATTTTCGGGGTCGCTGATTACGAATCTAAAGTCAATTTTTAAAATTCAAAATGGCGGATCCAATTTTGCTATCAAATTCGTAAAAAATTACTACAATTAAAACGTTGATACTGAAAGTTTTAAGCATTGTCATGGGTCGAAACTTGTTACCAGTGGGTTTCTGTGTACGAATCTGATGTCAGCAGATTTTCAAAATTCAAAATGGCGGATCCAAATCCAATCATTTTTTTAACTGATCGCCCAGGTAACGAGTTTTAACCCATGATAATGCTTAAAACGTAAATTGATCGCCATATTGGATCCGCCGTTTTGAATAAAAAAAAATTTACTTTATATTTATAATCAGCGACCCCAAAAACTACCAAGTAACGGGTTTCGAACAAATCCACTCACTTTTTTTAATTGATCGCCATATTTGTACCGCCATTTCGAGTTTTGAAAAACTGACATCAGATGCGTAATCGCGATCCCAGAAACCC